TATAACATATATAAAGACAGCGAACAAAGTGAAGACTGGGGAGGGGACTACACTGGGTTACTCAAACCAGCAGTAGAATATGTACGAAAGATATTGTCAATTCGAATTAATTATTAATATCTAAAGAACTGGAAGTAGACATAATTTCCTGTTTCTTTAGATAATCCCCGCACCTGCATTGAAGTGCCTTGTGAAAAACAAGAAAGGGAACTAATACTAGTGGTAGTATAACATTTCGTGACTCGGAAATAGAAGTCGATTTAAACTGGAACATTACTATGTTGCTATTTATATGCATAGTGTAACTGGGCCCGTCTAAAAAGCACCTAAACCGTAACCTACGCTAAAATTAGTATATATGACATAATTTCTAGAGCAGACCCGTACATATATGCATTGAGATTGTGTGTGTGTGTGTGTGGGGGGGGGGGCTGGAATGTAACACGAAAATGCGGTTTGTTTATTTCAGAGTTTACTTATTTATTTGAAACCTATGACGCATATTTGTGCACAACAGAGTATATACGCAATTAACAGCTTTGTCTTACGACTTAGGTCTTCGATGTAAACATTCATCGAAAGACGGCAATAACATGTAAGACATGTAAGGTTCAAACGACAACAACATTGACCTGTTGGCGTCAGGCCAAATGAACTACGAAGCACCACCCAGTCTGGTTGACTAACCAATCAGCTACGACCTGATATTTCGTAGCCAATGGGCAGCCAAATGACGTCACTCTGAAGGTTTATTTTTATCGAGGACACGCCGACATTACAACAACAACAGTCGAGCAGTACGGTGTTGTTAGTTTCGGCGTAGTTTTGTCTTAAATCTCAGTGAATTATGGAGAATTTACGAGAACAAGTGATGATAAACCAATTTGTGATGGCTGCTGGATGTGCCAGGGAACAAGCGAAGCAGTTATTACAATCAACACAATGGCAATTTGAGGTAAAATTCGCTATCACTCTGGCATGTCGAAGAGTTCATATTCAGTTCAACATGGAGGACAAAACCACAACAAAACTTCATAGAGCGTGATGTGGCTGAAACGCAAAGCGACAGTTGTCTTATAATTCTACTTAGCTGTTCAAAATAAGCTATATTTGTATTAGTTTCTTTTAATGTGCAGTTGCTCACACAGTGTTTGTTATATCTGCCGTAAAACTAAAAGAACCAAGTTGAACATATAATTTCATGTTCCATGCATAGACAAGCGCAGTACTAGTACTAGTACTACTAGTACTACTACTACTAGTACTACTACTAGTACTACTAGTAGTAGTACAGTAGTCAGCCTGTACTACTTCTAGTACTACTACTAGGACTAGTAGTAGGTCTAACTGATAACTAGGAGAAGAAATTTTTTAGTTTGGTTTTTTAATGTGATTTGTGTTGCATATCTGCTATGTCATGCATTTAGTCCTTCGTGAGGAAATAATGGTAATAAAAACTAATATTAATAATACTAAACAGGGGTGAAACAGGGGGGAACAGGGGCAGGGTGCGAAATTAACGGGAGTCCGGAGTCAAATACTCCCTGATTCACTGTCGGACTCCCTGATTTGACATATGCAGGAGTCCGTGTGACTCCCTGAAAATTCTGCCATACTAACTAGTTCATTCCGGAGCACGGCCTCGTGGAATTACTGTATTTTTTCAGCTAATGGCCGAAGAAAATTTGGCAGACATGCAACTGCATGAATCTTAAAAATAAGCACATGCGTTATTATTAATATCTTTAATTTTGAACCTCAGACTGCGGACTCCCTCATTTTGCTGCGGACTACCTTTTTTTGAGGGTAGTTCAAAAGTTAATTTCTACCCCTGCTATTAGTATTTAATGATCCTGATATTTTTAACACAGATTTGCATAGATGTATTTGTGAAAGTTTATTCAAACATCCCTAATATATAGATTTTAATAATAATTAATATATATATACATATATGTGTGTGTGTGTGTGTGCGTGCATGTGTGTGTGTTCATATAATACACGTGCACGCACGCACGCACAAATGGGTAAATATTGTTGATATACTTTAAGGCGGCCGCCGGCAAATTAGCGCTATTTTGCAATTTGCTTGAGTAACAGCAATTGACTAGAGTAACGATAAAATGTCTTAGAACCTTCAAATCCAATGAAATCATGCACGATTACAATTTTGCATTCTGTTTCTGTTTACCGTTGCCATCTCTCGAATTTTATTGCGGTAGCGCGAGAAATCTATCACGGTGCAGCAATGCATACCACGCACCCTAGAAATCAGGTCAGAGTGTAAACACAGACATTCATACTAGCGTAAACAGCAGTGTAGTACTAATGCCACGCAAAGTCTGTTATTAGAGAAGCTTGTGGATTGCCAGTCAGATAGTAACACGGGAATGACAATGACAGAAAGTGCTCTGAATTATTGACATAAAAACTCAATAATATTTACCAAACAGAATTGCACGCCCTTTTGTTTTAATTATGTTCACTTGTTTGAGATGCCATTTGTGATTTTTGAGAGTCGTGACACGATAAAATTTATTGCTGGTATGATGTGGTCAAATCAATTTTTCTATGCTGTAACTGTATAAAATCTTGGTGTTTTGAATGTTGGTATAATCAGTGATATTTCCACTGTCAGGTGAGACTATATTCAGCTATATTTAGTTTTTACTCACAATAATCACTTTAAGTATATCAACAATATTGACCAATTTCCTGATTAGTTTTTACATGATATAACACATACTACAGGGTTCTCCCCAGGATGAAATTGAAACAGGGGGAGGGGGGAAGGGGAACCTAGGGGGGTCCGGGGGGGGGCGTGTTTTTTTACCGTACCACTAATTAATGTGTTAACCACTAACCACTAATTAAGGGTTAACTTACGACTAATTAAGGGTTAGGGTTTGGGGCAGGTTGACTGTTTGTACTTGTGTGTGGTCTGCAGTGCATGCGTAGTGTAGGACATTGTAGGACGTTTACGCATTAGGCATTAGTGTTAGGGTAAAGATACACGCGTCCGGTGGCCTGATCGAATGGAAATTCTTGACGATCGGTTCCCGCACTGTCATTGTGTCAAACTTTTATTGTGGTGGAATTTAATCGGGGCGCAACGATTGAAACAGGGGGGAGTTTTCCCAAACGGGGCGGGCGCGCCCGGTTTGCGAAACGTAGGGAGGGGCCTGTACTATGAAATACTGAAGTATGTATGCTTGTATGCTTAAAATAAACACAAAGCTAATACTATAATAAATTGTACAAAATTAAGGGCCTGTTCAAACTACTACAGTGGTAGAACTTTTGAACAAGGGAGTCGAATGGACTATCTTGCCCTCAAAAAGAGGGAGTCCGCATCAAAATGAAGGAGTTCGCAGTGTGAAGTTCAAAACTAAGGATATTAACAATAACGCAAGTGCTATTGTTCATGCAGTTGCACGTCTGCCAAATTGTCTTTGGACATTTGCTGAAAAAATACGGCAATTCTGTGAGGCGGTGCTCTGGAACGAACTAGTTAGTATAGCAGAATTTTTAGGTAGTCTCACGGACTCCTGCATATGTCAAATAAGGGAGTCCAACACAAAATCGGGGAGTATTTAACTCTGGACTCGCGTTTATTTTGCACCCTGTATCAGGGCTGGCGGAGCCGGTTCGGCCAGTTCGGCCATGGCCCCACCAATAATTTTTCGGATCATGATTTTTTCAAGCACACATTTTCGTTATGCACAGGCCGGATCTACAATTATTGCAATCCCGAGCATATAATGATCTGAAATCACATATAGTTTATGTATAAACGCATATATATACTACTACATGACTATAGTACCGGTAATAAACTGAAGAATGTTTATAAGAAGACATGATTGTGTTGATCTCTTTAATTGCTGATACTGTACCAGAAACGGTCGTCTGCTGGTCGGCCATTGTGAGCGCCATTGTTTATGTCCGTCCAAGCGTTTGATCGAGATCATCCTAGACATTACAAGTTCAAAGTTGCAGATAGCAATGAAAACCGTGGCTACATTAGAAAGCCATGTATCCGTTGTGACAGAGACTTTGATCTTTTCTATGAAAAGGTGTTGTTAGCCAAGACTGATCTGGGTGAAGATGTCATAGCTCACCCAGTACTTCCCCGGGCAAAAAAGGCACCACTGCGATTTCAAGTTCGTAATGCTCCACCTGAATACTATGCATCCCCAAAAGAACTACATGATCGACAGGAGTATTTTAATTCCATTGATATGCTTGTCAGCTCTATCAAACGGCGTTTTGACCAAGAAGGATTCAAAATATATCATTGACTCGAAGACGTGATCGTGCTTTCATGCAATGGGGTTGAATGCGACACACTTATCAACGAAATCTGTACATTCTACGGAACGGATTTAGACAAAGATCAGCTAGAAATTCAGCTTCAGACATTAGCCATTCACTTTCGGGATGAATTAAGGCCAGTCGATGTACGCATGGTGGTTAGTTACATTGCAGGACTCGAAACTGCAAACCGCCAGTACGATTCCGGAGTTGCTGTCCTGTTAGAGTTGATAATGGTTAAATGCCCGCAACTAATGCCTCCAGCGAACGATCGTTTTCTGCATTGAGGCAGCTCAAAGAATGATCGTTTTTTGTCACTTGAAAGACTGTGATTGCGGCATCCAAACACCACATAATTCCTTGGCACTATGCGCTGCGTGCATTGAGCGGTGCGTTACTACGGTTTGTTTTCATCGGCTCGAATCTACATCCGGTCAAATAGTCAAAAGTTCCCGGATGTCCGCCCCCACCTATAGTACTAGAGCTAGGTCCGGCATAACCCGACCAGGCTGTGTGACTAACGTCAATACACCGTATTCTAACCCTAGCAATACCGTTTCTTGGAGCTAGGTCCGGCAGTACCCTGGGGGACATAAACCCTCTCAGCTTTACTAGGCCCCCTAGCTCCAAGAAACGGTCTTGCTAGAGTTAGAAGTTGTATAGAACAATCGGTCGCACAGCCTGGTCGAGCTACTATAGTACTAGGCCACCCACACACTACAGCATTCATGAGTATGTCAATATGAGTATGTGTATCATGTCACATGTGACACCTGACCAACCACTGAACCAGCATTACGACGGACATAGCTCAACGGTCAACCCGCAGATAAGTTCGTTCAAATAATATAAGTTGACCAACAGTGAAATTCCGAATATCCGTTTCAATCAAAAAGAGTTGGCTAAGAGTAGGAAATACCTGCAAAATAACTACTTACATGATAGAGTAGTACATGAAAGTGTGATATGTGGTATCAGTGTGCTCTGCCATTACACCATCGCAGCGACATCTGTGACTAAATGTGGAACTTGTTGGTCAGTTAGGGGCGGCTGACTTTGATGATCTGCGGGTTTTTCGCCGTCCCCGTGCTCCATTTAGTAATGATTGTATTTGTTTTTTTGTTCACGGATTTATAATCAATGTGTGATTGTATATAACTTGTACTTATGCGTCTTATGCACAAATAAATTTCTTGAATCTTGAATCTTGTTGGTACCGTGCTTGTTAGACTGGTACCCGGTCGACAGTTCCACACGCTACACTAACGTCAGTGTAGCGAAGGATATATGCCGGAGTGAAGGTGGCGAACGGGTACCAGTCTACGTGCTTGTAAGCGTTTGTAAAGTAATCGGGCGTGTTCAAGCACCGTTCAAGACGTCACGAAAGGTCTTCGCAAGGTCTTTCACATAGACTGGTTCATATTTCAGGAAAAGAAAGTCCAGTAGGCATTTTTGAGGAAAAAGGGCCAAATAACTTTTTCTAGAGTGGTTTTTCATGCTGAATACGAATCTTTTGTTTGGATATCTCTATTTTGCCTAATTAGGTCAGAAATCAAGGTCAAAGGTCAATAATTAGGTTATATACTATATTTGACCAAAAATGTACATAATCATGTGTTCTAATAGAATAATGAAAGATCTTTTAAAAACTAGTCGCCACTACGGTATGGTAAGCAATTGAATTT